ATATATTGTATGACTAGGAGAGATAACCGCGCTTCGCACGGTGGAGTACAAAACGTGAATGCCCATAGAAGCATTAAAATTATGTAAATAGTAGCTGAGATTGCTGACAAGTAATTTTAGATAGAAATTAATATTGGAGTTATACGTGTCGATTAACAACAGAAAATTGTGGGACAAATGTAACAGGATAATCTGGTAACCGAGATATTTCTCTTGTTTTAGAAAAGGAAATGCTGTTACAGATGTAACAATAGGATTTGATATACGGACCAGACCTATATTGCAAGGACGTTACTTTGCAGTTACGGAAAAATAGATAATTTTTTTGAACTCCATTTAAGAAGGTTGAAAAACACTACAATAAGACCTCCCCACAAAGGAGACAAGCACTGCGGATGGTATCAGTTTGAAAAGGTACAAATGAAGGTTCTTTCCTGATGAATACTATTTTTAAGTCCAATTTGTAGCACATACATAGAGATAATGGGATGTATTTTCCCTCTTTTTTTCATAAGCCACATAATCGATAGAAAGGGTAAACAATTCTAAGATTTTGTTCCAATTTCTTGAAACAGGTTTCCATAGCTGTTGATAGCGTCTAATTTGTTAGGGAACATGTGCATGCTCATTGACGGTGCCTAATTTGTCAGAGACATTTTGAATTTTGTCGTCAAAGGAACTTAGATTTCATTGTCTTAACTCTGGCTCAACCATTTCAAGTCATTTCTTGTTCTTATAAAGGGCGAAACTGCTGCAATTCAATACTAAGATGGACATTTTTTTTCTTGTTTAGTCCATGATGAAATACACCAAAATTTAATGATGACAGGTTGGCATACAAAAGGTTCGTTGCATTACCATGTCTAAAGATTATCGAAACAAGCCGTAGACAACTGGAATAATTGGTTCTCACAAAAGCTAAAAAGCATTACATCACAAAAGGCATCACAAACGGAGTCAGTAATAAGCACAAATGAAACTTAAAAGACAAATCCCATCAGGAAAGGCATAATTTACATGTCTATAGGCTTAGCTTCTCCAACCCAGTAAGCCATAACGACCATAAACTTGACTCTAGTTACTCTGATAAAATCTGGAGCATGCTTAATATAGCACAACAATTCCCTTCCATCAAGAGCATCAGCAACCCGGTGGTTTAGGCTAACACCCTGTGACATTGACAAAGATTCGTAAAGTAAATATCTCATATATAATATGTAATGAACCAGCATCCGCTAACAACCAAGCTAAAGCAAACCTCATGTTCAGCTTGACTAAGCTGGTAAGCAGTGAATCCTATCAGCTTCGTTACCCAAAACAATGATATTGATCGAATCAGTAGCATCAGTAATAGCCAACTTAACACGCGCTTTGAGAGTAGATATATTAATTACTGTCAAAGAAGAAGCCTTAGTTGGAAAAACATTCATTGACTATAAGCGAACAGCAGCAAAATTTCACCAATAAGTACCACTAACACACCTAGGAAAGACATAAAGATCCTTATGACAGTCAACACAAGAAATTCCTAGAGTTTCAATGAAAGTGTTAGGTGCACAGCAATATAGACAGGCCAAATGCCAAAGTTTGTGCAATCGATCAACCGTTACTCTTCCCTTAATCCATGCAGCACCTATAGCCTCAAAGAACAGTATAAGCATATTCAGAAGTTTCAAAAAGAAGCTAGTTTAGGCAAATAAGGGAAATCACAGAAAGCAACATAGAAAGGACAAGGCGCCTAATAAATTGAGTTGTTGTGTGAACACCGACAACAGTAGACAGCATGGTGTCACCAACAGGAGGAAGAAACAGAAGGGGATTGCAGTATCTCTTCTCCAGAACAAAAGCAATTGGATCAGAACAATTATGTCGGTACCTGCATGGAGACAGATGAGAAATTAGTAATAATAATTGATTTTAAAAGCCACGGTGGACGTTAGCTAAAAAGGAAAAAGAGAAATCTTTTTTCAAATTACAACCAGGAGGAAATGACAACCACTATTCAAGCTGTGTAGCCTACTATAGCTCTTCCCTCTTCAGACTCAAACTCACCAAACAATGTCAAATGAACAGGCATATTACTGCAAAAGAACATATATAAAAACAAATCACTATAGGTACGAAAGAAATAGCCATCAGAAATTGATATTGAATACAACCTTTGGTCGACAACAACATATTCTCTGGCAATAACAGAGCGAGCATCTGAGTACGGTTTCCTTGCCGGCAAAGCATACAAAACAATTCTCATCATGTCTATTTGAAATTAGTCCAATAACAGGTAAAGAGTAGCAGATCTTTCTAGATCAGTTATCAAAACCACTGAGGCATAAGGCAAGAATAAGGTTCGCAAGCACGGTAGAAGCACAAGAAAAAGTCATTTAAAGAAACATAACAACTCTAGCCTACAGAGGAAAAGAGCAAGATTGCACCCTTCCGGAGAGCAAAACAGTAGATCTAGAGAGGGCCAGAAAGGACCCAAAACTATCTCAACTCAAAGCAGAAGAGCAGATCTAAAACACAGCAAATGCCTTGGAGGGAAACAACAAGGAAATGCACCAAGAAAAATAAATAGCAGTCAAGGCAGAAAACATTGACCCATTTATAAAAAAATCATCGTGGGCAAATACGCATATCAGCCTATCTCCACCAGGCAAGAAATTTATTAGTAACCAACAGCGGCAATAAAAGGGGGAAAAAAATGTAAGAACCAGAAAACATGCATATAACGAAAAGGAGCGCACAAGGAAAAAAGGGCAAACGAGAATAACAAAATAAATCAAACGGAAACCACTTGCACGTTCAAAATTTCTGAACAACAACATTACTTCAAAAGAACACATACATATTACGTAAAGGAATGAACAGAACAAAAAGGCTAATGGGAAAACGAAAAAAAAACCCATGGTAAACAGCATCGAAAGCCACAGGGGAAAAAGATACCAAGGGGAAATAAGCTCAGAGGCACAACATTCAGGGAGGAAAAAATTTCCTGACATATATAAGCAAAGAACAATGAGCAGCAAGAATAAGAGCGAGATATAACAGTGAAATAGCAGCAAAAGCAGGACAAGGATTAAAACAAACACCATGGCCAACAACAAATTGCAACGAAAAAAGATGGGAAAAAAACCATACGGGAAAAAAACGAAGAGGAACTACGATTACGATTCAGATGAACCAGTAAGAGAAGCACCGCGAGGCCGAGACTAAAACAAACGAAGAAGATGTAACCAAGCTCAAGCTGGCCAGAGAAGTCGGCAAGGGGAACGGGTTGAAGGGCACAACAAATCTGCGAGAATGGAAATGAGAAATCAGATGAGAAAACCCTAGGACAAAAAGGCCACAACCAGACCGTGTTGGAATTCGGACAACATCGGAAGACACAGCCATGATGAAGCACGCCAATTGCCATTCTTGAGCAAAGTCGCCTGTCAGCTCCTTTCAATGCAGTTGTGAGAGCCGGAAATGGAAAGAAGCTGGTACGGCAATTAATTCCAAGGCAGAAAACCCATGGGCGACCCAATTACCCGATCCATTTGAACGGAGCACCCGGAGAAGCAGAACATTACACAGCTCACGTGAGCGCACATGACGACGACGAAACCCTTTGGTGCATTGTATGTTATGTTGATGAGACAAACGAGGGGACAATAAATGATATTTAAATTAAAAAAATAATTTATTAAGAGACCTTATAACGATTCTTTAATTTTCAACACATGAACAAGAGTGAAGCTTAACTCTTAAAATTAATAGTAATGAAAATATTAGATGATACATATAATAATTATGGTAAATATTGAATGAATTATTTAATAGTAATGAAAATATTAGATTTTCATCATAAAATAAAGTCTATTATGATTGCAAACAAAATAGTAAGGGGAATGACAAAAATTTAAGCCCATGGTAAGCTTTAGAGTGTGTTTGGACCATTTGAACAAAAAAAAAATTGGCTATATTATAAATCATTTTTTTTAATCATCTTTTATCAAAATATTCCAGTTATGAACTTTATTCCAGAATGCACATTTACAGTAAAACAGCATTCACAATATTAAAACAAATGTGATCAAAAGTATTTCTATTGTATATTTTTTAGTTTTGCAGTGTGTACCTGTCTTGGTTGTATTGGCTTGTGACATGAGTGCTGTCGTGTGACACCAGAGATCCTTTTATTTCTTTGCACGTTTTGTTTCAAAAAAGAAAAAAATTTTCAATATGAAATAAATTATTTTACTCTGAAATATTCATTTTCCAGGGCCACCTTGCACTCTTTCTGGAGATCACTTGTATTATATATAAACTAGCATGGTTCTGGCCGCGCTATGCAGCGGCCTACCCACTGGTATGAACAGCTTAATCCGTAACAATGAGGATAATTTCCTAAAACATCATCATGTATATATAAGCTCAAGAGGTAAATACTATGCAAATCACAATAATACATTACATAAACTCAATCATTCATGTCTTAGTAGAATAGATACTTGGATACCAGCCACAGTTACATATTAGGAGGCTTAAATAAGCTTCATTGCCCAATGAAGTACAGCATTGATGGTTAAACTATTACTAAGTATATTACGATCCATTACTTTTTAAGTCAAAAGAATAATGGATCATAATATAATTCAAAAGATATTGTCTAAGCAATGGAGGAAAGGCAATGAACAAAAGATTTAACAAAAGTACAGAAATAGGCCATATTAGTCTTCCTTTGCTTTAGCTTTCTTGGTTGGACTGTCTTTGATATTTGCAGGTGGACCATACAGTTTTGCAAGTTCTTTGGCAAACTCTTCAGGAGCCTTTGTTGGATGTTTAGCATGTGTGTCTGCTGGTAAATCTTCTGGAAACTCAAGGCTTCATTTTGCTCCACTGGTTGCAGATGTCTAGCTGTCTTTGTAAGAACTGGCTCCAGCAATTTCTTCAAGTACCAACTTTGTGCTTGGTGTGAACAATTGAAGCTTATTTAAGTCAGCATATTTAAGTTTGTCTTTTTGTTTCTTTCCAACATTCTTAGATCAGGGGAATCATCAAACATTTCATCTATCAATCTAAAACCTGTACTAAATTTTCTCTTTTTTTTTTCATTTTGAAACACAAAAAATCAAAATCTAATTTTACTATAAACAAAGCAAAATGCTAATCCAAAGGCACACAAAATGACAGAATCAAAGCATCCTAGAATAGCTAAAACTAAGTAATATATATAAAATGACAACCTTAATAAGCCAAAGGACAATGATACTAAATGATGTAATTATTGAATAGATAAGCAGCTAACAGCATCATGCAACATTTGAAATAAAAAACAGAGGGAAAAGTAAACTATCATAGCATAACATCAAACACATTGCATTCCTTAATTAAGAGAAAGCAATAAACAGAGGCAACAACAGTGAAAAAAAAACTTGCAGTTCAAAATAGAAGGTGATAAAATAGAAACATACCTATATTTTCTTTGCTCGCCTGAATGTTGGCAAAAGTCCGGCAGCATTTGAAAATAATATAAAAACAGAGAAAAAAAGTAAACGTAAGCTAATCGAAAAAATAGCATCATAATTATTCTTTTATTTATAATATCAAACACATGGCAGTCTTTAATTAACGGAAGGTAAGAACATGGCAATAAATATAAATAATAAATAAACAGAAGGTAAGAACATTCATCAAACTAAAAAATTGCAACTTAATATGCTGACTGAAAAATTGACAGAAACTAAAATTAGTTGCTCAAACTAAAATTTGCAGCTCAGTCATCAAACTAAAACTAAAAAATTGCAGCTCGAAATAGAAGGAAAGAGAATAGGAATTACCTAGATTTTCTTCGCTCGTCTGCTGAATACCGGCAAAACTGGGAAACAGAGTTATATATAGAGTTGGAAATAGTAAGTCTGAAAGCTATAGCATAGATGATAAGGCGGTAGAACAGCCATCCCTAAAATGAGCTGATTTTGGGGAAAATGAGATTTGAGTGAGCTGTTTTTTGGGGAAAAAGAAGAATTCACGCGAATGTGGATGATTTTTTGAGAGGTAATCGAAAGGAAGTACAATTAGTTGGTGGAAGTACAATTAGTTGCTCGAGGAATTGACAGAAAATTGAAGATTTTGCAGGCTTCTAGATTTTGGGGGAAAAAATTTTACTGACCTAATTTTTGGGGCAGGACAAAAATTCACGTGCGTGTGGAGGATTTTGTGGGTTGCAATCAAAAGGAAGGACAATTGGTTGTTGAAGGAATTGGTAGAAAACTGAAAATTTTGCAGGCTGATTCGACGGGAAGAAAGCGGCTATTTGAGAGAAAGAAAGAGGCTACTCTGCGGGAAAAAAGGGAAAGGGAAAAAGGGGGAAGGAAATTCTGGTAAATGAAGAAGAAGGAAGCTCGATGACTAATAAGACCATTAAGCTACTGTTGACTAACTTACATCATGAGTCATCAGTCATACTAATCATGCTAATAGGCAGGAACATTACTTCTAACGGGTATGACTGCATTAATTTGTATAATTATATAATTAATAATATAATGTAATTCAAAACAGCCCATGTGATAAAAAAATCCACAAATAGTCTACAATTATTGCATTTGACCAGAAAATTATCAAAGAGATATTTTCAAATATACAAAAATAACACTAAATAGTTAGCAACTATTTAATGAGCTAGTTTTCATAAAAAGATTCAATTGACCTTTCAAACCAATTAAAAACCAATCAAAAGGAACAAATAAAAATAATTATATAATGTAATTCAAAACAACCCATAATGTAATTCAAAAGAACCCATGTGATAAAAAAACCCACAAATAGTCTACAATTATTTGCATTTGACCAGAAAATTATAAAAGAGATATTTTCAAATATACAAAAATAACACTAAATAGTTAGCAACTATTTAATGAGCTAGTTTTGATAAAAAGATTTAATTGACCTTTCAAATCAATTAAAAACCAATCAGAAGGAACAAATGAAAATAATTATATAATGTAATTCAAAACAACCCATGTGATAAAAAGGTCCACAAATAGTCTACAATTATTTGCATCTGACCAGAAAATTATAAAAGATATATTTTCAAATATACAAAAATAACCCTAAATAGTTAGCAACTATTTAATGAGGTAGTTTTCGTAAAAGGATTCAATTGACCTTTCAAACCAATTAAAAACAAAACAAAAGGAACAAATAAAAATAATTAAACCATTGTTACCAATTAGCCCCTAAATAGTAAGGAACTATTAAGACCTTTAATTTCAAGACCAAGGCTCAAATAGGCATTTCTCACTCTTTAAATCCCAAAAATCAGAAAACAAACTCCTTCCTAACTCCTTCCTCTAACAATATATTGACACTTGGCATTCAAGGGAGAACTTGAGTTGTTCTCTTAGTAGGTAGATATATATTTATTTATTTATTTCATGCAAATTCCATAATTATTTTCTATAGTTCTTTGAAATAGACCCAAATTTGACCCCAATACACCTCCAAAGATCAAAGCTTTCTCCCCGAGAAGATTCAAAAGATTCACCTGATTTAATAACAGAGGTTAGTTCGCTTCTCAATTTCAGGATGTCTTTCATCCTTTTTCAATTTGAGTTTTGCAAATTTAGGGCTCTTGATAAGTGGGCTTTCTCTTGTTCACGTTTTCCTCAGTTGGGCTTTGCTTAGATCACTAATTTATTCAATTACAGTAAACGGGTTTCTCTTTAATTGGCTTGATGTCTTGCTTTCTTCATTTTCTACAGCATTTGTTGAATTTTTAGTTGTAATTTAGTGTAGATTGTTTCTGAATTGATTCTTTTATGTTAAAAAGGTGTTCTTGGGTCCGTGCAGATAATTGAAAACTATCAGTTTGAGGGGAAAGGAAGAATTTTGAGTTGTGGGGTTTAGGTTGGCGACTTTTGTTCTGAATTTTTTTGGGGAGATAAAGCAGAACCTTGAAAAATGTTGTCAAGATCGTATACTAATCTCTTAGATTTGGCATCCGGGAATATTCCGGTAATGGGTAGAGAGAAGGAAAGGAGAAGGTTTCCTAGGGTCATGACCGTGCCCGGAAGTATATGTGAGCTAGATGATGACCAGGCGCATAGTGTTTCGTCGGATAATCTGTCTTCAATAGTGTTTCTATCTTCTGTATAACACCCTTTTTTTAATTTGTGGTTTTGATTTTGTTTAGGGTTTCTCTCCTTTAACTTATTAACGTCCCAGAGCTCCAACAAAGCTTGAAGAATCAAGTTTCAATGGGAAAACCAGGATTTGCAAGAAAAAGAGGTAAAATTTCCTTTAGTTTGCTTCGTAATGTTCGTTTATACTTATTAATAGGTACATCGTATATAGGATTGAAGAGAGTGAACAGTTCAAAGCCATTTAAGAAGTTCAAAAATCTGAAGCTAAATCCTGGAGCAGAAAAACTTGTACCTAAGCAACCTCTAGAAAATGACTCAGGTGAGCCAGTATTACATTTTAGTTTTCTTTTAAGGATTTTTTTTTGTTATTAGTGATTTTTTTTGTCTTTTTTAAATGTTCTAGAGGATTGGTCTGATGAAAATTCTGAGGCTGAATTAGAAACCAAAGAAGAAGAAGAAGTAGAAGAGGATATTGTTTTTAACAGAAAGCCAACAATGTATGACAATTTATTGAAGAGGTTGGGATCAAGTAGTCAATTAATTGCAAATGCGATTAAGCAAAGGTAGTGCTCTGGTGCTACAAAATCTGTGTCCCCCTTTTTCTTAATCTGTGAAATATACCCCCTTTTGATTGTGATCGTGAATTATTTACTTCTTGATGGTTTTATGTGTTTAAAATTTGCTGATTGACCATAGTTGATCATTTGGATAATGTCTTGATGATGATATTGGAATTTTCAATGTAGAAAGTGCTGTTTTCATTGCATTGAATGTTTGCTTGAGTTTTATAATGGCCAGTCTGGAAATAAATTCAGTGTACTCTGCGAATAAAGGAATACATGTTATAAGAGTTTGTTATGTATTACATGTTTTTATTTTTATCTGCGTAGTATGCCCCCTTTTGATTTTGCTGGTCAATTATTACATATTGATTGTTTAATGCGTTTAAAATTTGCTGATTGAACCTGTGGGACTTTCGTTGGTTTTGAAAGTCTATCATTTGTTATATGTATTACATGTTTTTATTTTTATCATACCCCCTTTTGATTTTGCGGGTTAATTATTACATATTGATGGTTTCATGCGTTTAAAATTTGCTGATTGAACCTGTGGGACTTTAGTTGGTTTTGAAAGCCTATCATTTGGAAACTGTGACTTGGATGATTGGCAATTTAATGTAGAAAGTGCTGTTTTGGTATATGTAATGCAGTGCTTGAGGTTGCTAATTGTCATTCTGGAAATAAATTTGATTTGCTCTATGGATAAAAGGAATACATGTTATAAGAGCATGTTTGAAATAGTGCTATGAGTGGAGGTTGGTGGGTTCCCAAGAACTAGGGCATTGAGGTGCACTGTAGCATATTCCCCTAGTGTTTTTGGGGTTTGTTAAGTTTTCTTTTGTAAGATAATCATAATTGCTTTGTTATTGTGGAATTGAAGTGTCAAATGACATTTTTTCGGGATTTGGTTAATGTTAAAAGCATCAATTGCTTCTCCATTAATCAGTATTTTACATTGTTTGATGATCATTGGTAATGGCAAAAAATTGTAATGAAAGAGGTGGAGAAACAGATGTAGTGATGTCTTTAATCTCTTTCCCTGAAACAATAGGTGCTAATCCTTAATTTATTTTGTTTGTAAAGGTATATGAACATTTTTTCTTTGCTTATGGAAGATATATGGTTTTGTTTTCCTGGTAATCAGAGCCTGTGCTTTAACAAAGATGAAAAAAATTATGGAAAGCATAAATGAGTTACAGAGGATGGAAATTATTTCAGTAAGTTTGATTTCAAGTATCTAGTCAAACTGGTGATTAGTGTAGGGTGAACTGTTTAATGTTGATTATGAAAAATGAAAGTTAAAAAATACAAGTCCTTGAAAGCTGTTCTTGTCATGATGAGGCACGCAGATGGTTCTTGGAATAAGTTTTGTCACCGCGATAGTGTAACTGATGTGTTTCACTGCATAAGAATTGTTAGTTTTCTCATGCATAACTTTTTTCATGATTAGGAGGTCAGTCAAATCAATCATTGTTATTCTCAAAAGTTATTCTCCATGTTGCTGTAGACACTTGGCTGATTTTTTTACTATTCTAGTTGCATTGAATGAATTCATGATGTTGATTTATTTAGTCCTGTGAAAACTTACAAAAGAAAAGTGTCTCTCCTGTGAATAGAAAAAGAGAAGAAGAAACTCAATTCATGATGTCGATTTATTTAGTCTGTGAAAACTTACATAAGAAAAGTGTTTCTCCTGTGAATAGAAAAAGAGGAGAAGAAGGGAAAAGTGATACAGAAGATGATGAATCAGAAAGTGAGGTTGAAGATGACAATGAAGGTAGACAATATGCTCTTTATGAATCAGTTGTAGAATTTGTATTTTGTTGCTTCATTTGGTTACAAGGAAGTATAATGCCTTTCATTCTCTTTTCTCATTAAATGTAAACTTCAATGCATCACATTATTATTGTTATATCCTTTAATGCTTTTGCTGAGCCTTTGCCTAGTTGACCCGTAAGTTTACATGTTGATTATTACCTCCATCATAGATTGTACTGGGTTTCTTGGTTCCATGTTTTCAGTTAATCGGCTTGTTTATTAGTTTCAAGCACTATGATAATTTGGATAGAATGTATTGAGCACATAGTCCACTATGTTATTTAGGTGAAAACATGTGGTGATGAGCTTGCACGCTAGTTACTGTAGCTTGAAAATTTTTTAGAGCACAAGTTTTGATCATTAATGCTCACATTAGCTTACTTATGTGAAGGATTGGAATTATGCCATGTTTCAGATTCTGTGGGGGCTAAAGTGTTAAACTTGTTATATTTAAAACTGGGCATAATAATAATTTTGGAGAAAAGTTCAACTAGTATTCTTTAATCCGACTGCCTTGGGTGCATAGATGAGATGGAAAATAAAAGTTAATAATCTTTCCTTGATGTAAAATTTAAACATCTTTGCATCATCGGAGGGATAAAACACTTTTTGTGTCTTGGAATTAGTATTTTTTATTTATTGATACACATGGGTTAAAATGGATTTTTGTTCTTTTTTCCTGTACAACATGTCGAAGTCTGTTCATATATCGGAAGTTATCAAGTTAAATTGAATGGTTAGATATCATTAATTACTTGGGCACATCTTTTATCACCAAAATATTCAGTTGAAAAATTAGATAAATTTTCAAGTTATAAGCAATTGCTTATAGTCTGAAATCACCTCAGAAGCACAACTTTTCAAATAAGCAACCATAACAATACAAACAATAAAAAAAACTATGGAAGGCATGATCTTTAATTGCGCAATTGATTACTACAACCCTATCGGCGTTGCATATTTTTCCAACTAAAAAAATTAGTAATCTTGCCTAAATCTGATATGTTGATAATTTATGGTGTGGTAAGAGTAGTGATGCAATCAACTTGTTATGTCATTTTGTAATGTGAGCTGCTTGGGTAGTTGACTGTTGAATATTGATTTATTTATTTATTTTTTTGAATTAGGGAGTATTGATGAGTGTCCTAGAAGAATTGAAATGATAAATGGTGCCAAAGAAAGTGGTGTGCCGGGTTCTACAGAAAAGAGTGAAGATTCTGGATCAGATGATGGAGAGATTGGTGCCTCTGACTCAGACGAAGAACATGATTCGAGAACAAATGTTGAATCCATTACCAGCAGAAGGTATTCTTACATGACATAAATTGCATTGGTTTTTCTATTATCGCTTTTGGGATTCCATTTTTTCTTATAAAACAAACAAAGGTGGAAAGCGAAAAGGACAAAGGTGGAAAGCGAAAAGGAAATCAACTTATGTTTTTAAAAAAGCAAGGACAAACTTTGGTTGTTTATAATCTAATTTTTATCCACCAAGGAAATGATTGATACATTATGGCACTGAAATGCGAGCATTTTGGAGTCTTTTTGTTGTCATTATCAAATTTGCTCATTGACTTCTTTTTATTCTTCCTTTGGATCATTGATCTTTATTTTGTTGCCCTTCTTAATGGAATTTGTGATGGCGTATTCATTTAATGATCATGTACCTGGTTTGACTAGTTACTGCAAAAGAGAGAGGGTATGATGTGTAGGTGCTTCTTTACTGTGCATTATGCCAGTTTTGTTTTATAAATTTAAATCTCCAAGGAAAGTGATAAATTTGTTTTGAAGTTGTGCTTTTCCTATTCGCGTTTCTACGACGAGACTTTTCTTATATATATATATATATATTTTGTTGTAAACTTTGCACTGTACAAGAAACCTTGTAATTTCCTAGTTTGAATGATTGCAAGGAATTTATACCTGACTAAGAAATTAATCGAACACAAGTATAGAATTTCATGGGCGATCTTTTACATGTTTTTCAATGTAGATGGTCTTTAACATTTTTAGCATGTTTTCCTATTCCTTTTGGAACCAGTGCAACAACTGTTCTGCATTCTAATATGATGTTCTACCCCCCACCGAAAATATATGGGACACAAGAACTGTCTATATACCTAACTTGAGGTTTCTGAACTTGTAGTACATTCAGCAGTCACTTGGATTATAAATTATCTCAAGGAGAGGTTGACAACTTATTCAAGAGGAAATGGAATTACAAATGGGAAGTTCCTGCTCTTCGTGCACCCAATTGCAAGTGGAGAGGAACTGGAGACTGTTTTTTGAAGGTAGATCTCTTTAATTATAACTGTTGGTTGATATGGTGAGTTTCTGCATGCAAAGAGCTCTAACTGTTGTAATAGTTATCGTCTTGTAATTCTGGTTCCTTTAGCCTAGTGGTTGATTGATGCGGATTTGTGTGGATCTAATAGCCCATTGTGTTTATTTACTTCAAGTTTTGGGCATACGATGCTGCAGTTGGACCCTCCCTCCCACAAGCATACAAAAAATCAGTTTCTCCTGAAGTAAAACAACTCTTTTAATATTCATGACCTGTTTTTTGTGGGTGGATAAGGAAGATTTTAGGGTAATATCCTACTAGTTGGTCTTTTAGCGCCAAATACTCTTTGTTTGTTAGCATTGGGAGAGAATTTTGGAGGTTAAGTCCTGTTTGCAGTGTGGTATGGCAGTGCTTGTCATTTAGAGTATCTTTGAACATCATCTATCATTGTATTTCATGATCTAGTTCTTAGATGGTGGCATGACTAAGCTCAATACATGATTTATTGCCTGTGTTCATGTTGCATTAGCTGAGGATTTTATGGGAAGGTAGTCGTTTACTTTTATTCTTTTGGAGCATTTTTTTTAATGTATCATAGTTCTTGACTTTTTAAAGCCAATTTTGCCCTTATCTTTTCCACAACCATATGATCATCAATCAATATGCTTGAGCCCTGAGCTCATTTCGCTATTTATCTAGGAGTCATGAATCTTTTGAGTTCATTCATATTTCTTGTTGCATTAGTATGTTTATCTCTACAAATCATTGAAAGATAAAGATGTACAACTTGGTGTTTATAGATTAAATTTTGCTGTTATTTAACTTCACCCAGTTGGTATCATCTGATGATCTTGGATAGGTTTAATTTTTTTTTTTTTAAGGTAGCTTATGAAATTTAAACTATCTTCTATGCCTTTTGTTTTGATATTGGAGGAGAGCGCTTTCTCCTCTATTTACAACTTTCTTTCTTCCTTTCTGTTATGTGTTTCTGTGATTTGGTTCCGCATTCTAGTGCTGTGTGGACTGTGTAAAAATGTTACGCTAGTTAGAAGTTGTTGATGTTGCAGCAAAGGGAAATTAATGGAGTCTTTATTGGTGCACCTTGCACTTTGTCTGTTGTTGCCTTTTGAGATCTTTTTGATCTCCTTTATAGACTCTATTTAAAAGGACTTAGAGTATAGTTGCGAGAGTAGCAGGACAAGTAATTGATGACTGTTTATGCAGGACATTGACATGAATGAAATGTGTGGCCTCAAGCCAAGATTGTATAAGCATTGGGTAGATGTCTACCAAGGATCTGGCGGCACTGATTTTCAATCATCTGAGCAGAGATTCTTTTTCTCCATCTGTAAGTGATCTAACAAACTTGGCCACACCTTTCTGCCACTCAAACTTCTTATGTTACTTATGATTAATAGTGGTGATGGTTTTCATCAATGTGACGTTGAATTAAATTGTAGCATTTGCTGTCACCTTGGAACAGGAATTTTGTGGTGTTAACTTTTGTGTGGAACAACTTATAGCATGCTTGGCATGTTTAAAAGTGCTTATAAACCTTTAGGTCTATCCTGTTTGTTAGTTTATTTTTGTGCTGTTACTGAATTTACTTTGGCCCTATCACTTGGCACCAGAAATTGTGTATGAACCAGTAGCAGTCTGATACATGTGAAAGAATGAATCATACTTACTCTGAAGAAGAAATTCTTGTTAGCGAAATTTAGTTCTAGAAACATTCAAGGAAAATTTAACTATATTAGTTTCTATTCCTCCTAAGTTCTTCAATCATTGTGTTCAGATTTCATAATAACGAAGGCAATATGGATTTATCCACATAAATATAAAATTCTTTTTGACTCCTTCAGTTGGCTTAATTTTTGTATAATTTTCTTGAGAATTGCATTTTGCATAATTATTTATTATAGTTGCCCTTCCTGGTTGAGTTTGGTTTCTTGAGAGTCCCAAATTTATATCTCAAAAAACAAAAGTGGCTTTGTCAGGTTGTACTTTCATTCTGCACTTTGCATCAGAAACTTTTAAAGACTAGGTCTAGGGGTTGCAATGTTGTTTACAAGCAGTTGATTGGAAAAGGCTAGGTTTTTTATTACCCTGGATGACATATCTTAACAATGCTGGAATACTCAGCAAAAGACATAAGAAATTAATTGGTGTTAACGCAATTTTCTTGGTCATCTTTGTTTGGTTTAATTGGTATTGCTTCTAAATTCAATCTAATTGATGCTTGCTGTGTATTACTTCAGGTTCAATTATGTGATTCTTTAGTTGGGTTTCATTTTGCATCAAACATTGATGAACAGATTTAATGTTGACAAACTGGCATGTTATTGAGCATGTATTGCATAACAAATGTTAAAAGCATGCAGGTGTATATTTTTTACATTAAGAGTACTTTTGCTTTTCCCCTTTTTCTTTGGTAGGCGGAAAGGTGTCAATGCCCCGTGTATGTTTAGATGGTCTTCATAGTGCATTCTTTTCTTTTTTTTTTTAAAGAATGTATATTTCTGCAAACCAAATGTTTATTTATCTATTTAAAAGGCAAAGTTTAGGGGCAACTATGAGATTCCTTTTAACGTCTAAGCTGTCCATTATTTTATTCTAGGGAATCAGAGTCAACCACGAGCAAGATATATATATGCTTCTCAGTGTAGATGATATAAAATGACTGAAAACCTTGTGATTCTCTGAGATGCCTTTGGACTTTATTTTCGATTTTCTTCCATGCTTGACCCCCTTTCTGCAATTGTTTAACTTATCAAAGATCAGCAACTAGAATATAAGTTATTTAACATGAAGGGGTCCTTTTTAAAGTGCAGTTTGGGATTGAGCCTTATTATTCAGCTTATATTTGCTATAATATTTTCCCTTTTTTGTTACTCTGAGCTTATTTTGCGTTAACAATTGATAGTCAATCACTTTTTGACACATTCTAGAGAATTGAGATGATTGTTGCGTTATGATAATCTCTTGCTTGTTCAATGGGGTTATATTCATCAGTTAAAAGTTGTACATATAATCTTCCAATCACACTATTTCTGTAGGCAACAGCTATCGGGATGTATTACACCATAACAAGAAGCCTTTTTATCTTAAAGGTCAAGAGGACTCGAGTATCCTGGATGCTTATGTTTTGCACACTGTATGTATATGGTTTTATACTTGTATTTTGGTCATTACCTTTGTGTTTTGAATTGGCATTTCCTTTCCAACTTTCTCTATATGGATTTTTAATTGTTATAGCATCATTTTGTAATGAGAAGCGAAACAACATTGTGTATTTCAAACTGCTGATAAAACAGTGGTATGCAGTTAAATCATGTTTTGAGAACAAGGGATTTGATCAGTAAAAATGATGCAAAAGTGGCTGATGCTCAAGGACAAGGGGGCATTCTCAATGGTGATGGTTTCCTGGACCATGGGTTTACTCGTCCTAAGGTATTCATAGTGCTTGCTCTAGGTGTAATTCTGCACATAAGAAAGGTTATGCACAAAATTTTCTTCCATGCGTCTGTTTATTTATTCTGGTTGTCTTAATTGGCTGTTTATCTATTCCATTCTTACTAGTCTGGTGTTGTTCTTATGATCTTTTTCCCCCTTTGTCACGTAATCAATTTATTTTTCATCTAAGTGGCTATCTTTTGCTCAATGAACAGTTACTATAAATTGGTAAACCTAATGTATGCGCAAGTTTCTCCATCTATTAGTAATTGTTAGGTAGACTTAAGGTCAGAAAGAGCTGTGCCTTCTCCTGGCAAATTTGAACTTCACTTCGTAAGCTTTCTGGTTTTGTCAATATTTGCTTTGGTGCTACCTTGCCCTTGAATTTCAAAACTGCTGCAGTTTTCGGACCCTCTTATATCTGATACAGACAGTGACCGATCCAAGGGAATGGATATTTGAAAAGGGAAAAGATTCTGAAAGTTTGCCTTTCTTTTCACGTGAACTACTTGACGCCTTTGTTAAGTGATTATCATAGAGCAGAGCTTGTTCTTGAGTTCCAAAACCATGGTGCCAAAGATTAGAAAGTATTGATCGGAGGTGCCTGCATGGACAACTTGGCATCTCTGTTTCATCGCCAAGATCTTTCACCAATCATGTGCTACTATCTTAACCCACAAGACGTACAGATTTCCCCTACTTTTTTGGTCACTTGTAGCTGATTTATTTAGGTTAATGTAATGAACTTCTTCCTGTTAATTTTCTCACCTCGGAAGTTTATACCTACATTGTAGACACTCTATACATGTCTGAAAATCCACTTGGGAAAGAGACTAACAGGATGCAGAAGCAACTGACTCAAGTTTGAAATTAAGGGAGGATTGAAGGATGCTTAAAGTTTCTTTCATATTTGTTTTATGTGTCTGACAACTTTCTTATACATTTTAGTTTTGATGTCCTGGGCACACTCTTAAGATTCTTAATTGCTTTAATGTTGACACTTTCAGAAGATAAGCTTTTGCCCTTGTTTTTGTTTTAATTTTCAGGTCTTGATCCTTTTGCCTTTAGCAAGCATTGCATTTTGGGTAGTAAAGAGGTTGATCCAGTTAACCCCTTCAAAGCATAAGGTATTGCTGCACTGTACTAGAGCACTGGTAGGAAAGGTCAACGAGTTTTTGTGCATAAGAGCCCACTGAGGCTGGTTATCTTCTTGTTTAGCACTATTCTTGCATAACTTCTTATCGAAAACTCAAATGTATCTGTTGTGTTGTCGTCAATGACTTTTCAGTCTTCTGCACTTAATACAACTTGCCTGATGGACAGTGATACTTTATGTACTGGAGCACATACATGGTCTTACGCCCAGATATGACTTTCCATTGACTTGGGCAAAAGAATGCAATGCATCTCAAGATGCACATTCGCATGCTAGTGACCAAAAAGAAAAGCCAGTCTTCTGTAGGATAATTACTGATTGTGACTAAAAATTTCAACTATGCTCAAGAAGTAGGAACAACGATGGCATATATTTCTTATTGCTTCCATGGGAAGAAATTAAGGAGATTTTAATGTGTTTTTGAATGTGTGTGCTGTAATGTTCATGCTGAAACACGGGAGACTGGTAAATGGTCCTCCTAGACTGGTTATGGATCTCCACTTTTACAACTAAACAGTAGATTCTACATGGACTGAGTAGAAGAGGAGACGAGCATTCTAAGTTCTCCAATCGAGTTCTTGTGGAGTCTGGATAATTGTGTTGCTTAGAACTTAAAGGGACTAAATTGACTGTGGTAGCTGCAAATATGATGTCTTATAATCTTTGCTTCTTGTCATTATTTGGGCATTTGCATAGGTCATCTGTGTGGAGTTAATCAGTCTTTTGTTGCTATAGTTATTGATTGTCATTAAAATGAACAGTCTCTTCAATGCATTTTCTGCATTGTCCTATTCCCTAGGTTAATATTGAACACATGGATCGCTTTACTGAGGAGTTTGGGAGTGGAGGAGTTGAAAGTGAGGAGGAGGATGAGGATGTTGAGAACTCAAAAAGAAAGAAGTCCTCTAAACCTTCTGACTTTCAGTCATTGTTTGGTGGGAATAACAATGATCATTTCATGATAGGCATCAAGTATATGGGGTAAAATATCTGATCTTGACTTGTTGACTATTGAGAGATTCTTAATTATTTGACTCTGTTTGAGCAGACTTCTTTAGGGAGCTCCTTTTTCTATAGCATGTCAATTCTTACGCATTCATTGGGTGTTTTCTGAAAAGATGAATGGAGCAATGCTTGTATTTTTTTATATTGATTGTAATTTCTTGGAGAAATAAAATCATTTTGGGCTTTTGGCTGTCCGTTGTGACTAAGCCAAGTCTAACATTACAGTCATTTGTTTTCATATGTTTAGCTTTTTTCTCGTATTAAGTTGTCACTCTTCATTAACTTGATGAGGACATCTAAAGGCTGCAAAGTAATTCATGCTTTTTATCCCATTGTGCAATTTTATGGTATATGATTTAATAATGTACTGATTTGGACCAGTTGCCAAAACTATAGCAATCAGTTGAATAAGTAACCTTGAAAATTCTGACTACTCATGCTCTAACACAGTTCCCTCCATGACCCTTGGCATTGTGACAGAACTTAGTTATATGAAATTATATTCTTTAAATGTCTTTGACTGGGAAGGCTTGCATTTTAGGAGTATCGACTTTGTCATTTCTTAGTAACAAGGAAATAGATGGTTTGAAATGATTGGCTGGGTTAGCATCAAATAAAAGGAGGTTTTGAACTTTGTCAAGAGATTTCTTTTTTGGAAAGAGCTGACGGTGACTTTCTGCAGTCTAAGCATCACATGATATGTTTTGTGGGAAGTGTGTGAGTTTGTTTAATGTTTAATATAACAGGACATGATTGCATAACATGGTTCCTTTTATTTTATTTTAACATATTGGTTTGAAGCTTCTTCCTGGTTCTCAAGAAAAGTCTTCCCTATCACCATTGCTTGTGGAGGTGTTGATGGGACAGGAACTTCCATCCCTCAATTCCCCTCGGCAGGCTAAAATACTTCAACATCCAGGCATCAGACCTAATTTACCAGTAACCACTAACCACCAAAGGGCTCTTGGTGCATGCTTAGAGCGATTGGCCTAGTAGTATTGCTTTAAAAATTTACCAAGTAGTGAGTTTTAGTTCTTCTGATTGAAGTAAGGTCATTTTCATGAGTGGAAAAAATCTGCAGAGACTTCAAAAGAGATTCTTCATAAGATGAGCTAGGGAATTGTTGATAATGACAAAATGGTGATTAGGCACAATTTGAGGGTTAAGTTGGATTTATTGTTATATGTATGAATCCGAAAGAATTGTATAGTCCATTGAGAAATCATGCATACTAGTTTTTGGCTGTGAAATAACTTCTTTATTCTTTCTCTGATGCACAATAGTAATTTGTTCTGTTTTGAAATCACATATTCTTTTCAAGCTCTGGTTCCTTATTAATCGTGTTGTTCTTGAAGATTTGGAAAAGCCCTGAGGTGTCTTCATTATTCTGATTATTAAGCTTTGGTGTTTTGCTTCTAATAATATTTCTTCATTTGATTGTTTATTGGCAGGAGGAAGATCAAGTTATATGCTGATTTTTATTCCTCAGACATAATAGTTGCTTCCCCTCTTGGTTTGATCACTGTGAGTCTTTAACTGGTCACGGTGATTTGGTTCTTAATGCTATGCATACTATGCCATGTAATCTCTTTTATCTGCATCGAGCATGTTTTGAGTTTTGGATTGCTATAGGTTGAAAATCTTGCCAGTAAACTATAAACTCCTCATCATGGATTGCTTCCTTGGCTGCTTGTTTACTGTGTATTATCTTTTTGCTATCTATACTGTGTTTGTTAGCGGTGATTATGACCAGTTTTCAGATTTTTTGGAAATTTATGTAGGTTTTTAGTGTTAACCAGTTAACAAAAAATTATGTGGTTCAATTGGGCATCATAAAGAGGTGTAGTCCAATCCAATTTTTGGTCCAACTTTTAATTTTAACCAAGAAATTTTAGCAGTACAATTCAACCATCCAGTTGGCTGAGTTACTCCACATTTTTTATGTACTACAAAAAACTAATAGTCGCATTCAACGGAAATGTTTACATGACAGTAGTAAATTTAGAAGGAACTGTATAATACGTATTTAAAGGATTGATAGATTGTACTTTTATTCTGTAACTTTTTGACCTATATTTAGAGCACCTCTACCAGTTACCAGCCTTCAAGTCTTGAAATGATTTTTAGGCCTTCATTTATTTATTTGTTGTTTAGGTGTGTCATCTCTAGTCGTGGATCCACTGCCTTAGCAACAGTTATGAGGCTTGTAAACCCTCAAAAGTCCAAACCTAAACTAGGACCCAAACTGTTGCATCTAACAAGCTTAAAAAATCTGGAAGGCTAGAAACCAAGCTTTATTCAAACACATGCCTGTAAAAGAAGAGGACATTGTTCATGAAGTGCTGACTGCTGTAAGAGATGTAGTGGCGGGTTGTGGAAAATTTCCAGTAAACAAGGCAAGCTGGGAATTGGCTGTAGAGTCAGGACTACCTCTGACTTGTTTTAGATGACTAGTATTGTATAGCATAGAGTACTATTGATGCAGTAGAAATTCTACATTCTGTGTACAAGCTTACTATTCTTATCAATAAAATGTTCAATTTTGCTCTAAAAAATCATATTAGGACATTGAGGTTTGTAACGGGGTTTCAAGTATAGATCATAATAATGTGGAGCAGTATGCCTTTTGAGATTGTTATCGTGGGGGTCAGAGTTAGGGCTTATTGGATTTTGAAATGCGCTCCATTTCTATGACCATCAAAACTCAACTACCTTTTCCTTTTTCCTGCAATAAAGGGAGTGGGGATTATTAACTTGCCTGTAAATTTGGTTAAAATAATCGAAGGGTTCTCTTAAAAGATCATCAGAAAAATAAGCACATGGAGTAAAACGTACAGCCGGGAACAGGCTGTATTCAAGTGAAACCCTAGTTTTGTAGAACACAATGAAGCCCAAATTTTGTGGAGCATATTCTTTCATAATAGCTAACCAATATGGCTTTGTAACATGTTCTATCATCTGGGAATTTTAAATCTAATATAAGTTGAAGTAGTTCTTGGTATTCTGTTAAAGAAAAAAAGAATGCAGATCAATATATTTTAGGATAGTGCAACAAGGTGGGATTTAACAGATTTGATTAAAACCCAAAAATTGTTGTTTTCAATAAATTAAAAGTTTGGCTAGACTCCGAGAGTGGAAATCAATTCTTAGCCCTGTCAGGATTCAGTAGTGTAGTATTCTTTTTTAAAGCATAAGGTGACCTTGATTTTACTGATGAGATTAGACCTCTACTTTAGTTTACTGATTGAGCTTTGAAAAACCATAATCACTAAAAGGTCTGTATTTTTTCCAAATTATGATTCAATAGAGATGGTCATTTTGTTTTCTATGGCTCAAAAATGTCATTATGACTAAAGAGAATCTTGTTTTTTGGGTTTTCAATCTCTCTCTAATTTTGGGGTGGTTTGCCGAGAACAGATGAGTTTTCAATCACCTCCTTTCTCTCTTAAAGTGTGATATGCATAATGATTTGTTCTATTTGGCAATTTACAGAAAATTGGCGCGGCAGAAGTAGAGAAAGAAAAGGATATTGATTATCTTTCCTCCATAGAGGTAAACTATTTAGTTCTAAGCCATGTAATTTCCATTTAATATTTATGTATATAAGTGTGTGTGTGTTTGGGTTTGTGTGCATTTGGGCTGAAAAGAACGTTTTATTGGTTAAACTTAATCACTACCATGATGATTCAATATTTATCTTAATAAATTCTTTAATTGTTTCGCTTCAATTAATTGAGGGCTTTTGCATCTTCCAGGTTTTGATTATTGACCACGCAGATGTCATACTAATGCAGGTGACTTTATTTTCTGGTAGAGTTTTGTTTTGTTGGTTCCTTTATTCAAGTTAAGTAGTCATTTCTCCCTTCTCCCACACTTCCCCTCCAACCGGGCTCGTATAAAAGGAGGAGAATGGATACTACTTCCCTTCCTTGTTTTAGGTGTATGGCCTTTAAGAATGAGTCCCAGCTATATAAAGTTGTTGAAACAATAATGTGGTGCCAAGCAGCTTGAAACTGATACAAAGTGCACATTTCCTAATAACTTTTTGTTTACTTTTTTGTTGTCCTCATTTGATCTGCAGAATTGGTCTCATGTGAACACAGTAGTTGAACAATTAAACCGGTTACCTGTGAAGCAGCATGGAACTGATATAATGCGCATACGACCATGGTATATTTTTATTCCTACCTTTCTCTATGGGCAAACATCCACCTTTCAATGAGCCCTATGTATTTCCTGTCATACTCGGTCTTCTTTCTGCTACATTTCCTAGCTTCTGGAATATTAATAATTTATTTTTAAATATCTGAGTCAAGGATTGTGTATTCTTGTTACTTTAATATTAGTTGATTCTAGCTGTTTTTAGGTTTTAAGTTGTTTTCAGGTTTTCTCATTTGCCTTTGACTTCTGCCTTTTTATTTTGAGCCCAAAAGGCTGATTTGTAAATGTCCTTTTCCTTTTCAAAACTTATAGGACAAATATATCTTTTATTTTCACACAACATTTGAAGGATTAACTTTTTCTTAAGCAGCTTTTGAAAAGGTAAGGCAAGCGGGAATAACTCTGTTTTGCAATAAAAATGATCATCCTTCATAACATCTGATCTCTTAAATTTGTGTGACACCACGTAAACTTTTGCTTTCTTGCTTCTAGGTACCTAGATGGACAAGCGCAATTCTATCGACAAACAATAATTCTAGGTTCTCACTTAAACCCAGGTAATTACTTGCACATTGTTAATTTCATTATGTGTAACTGTTGCTTTAAGAATAGTTGTTGCATGTATATAACATTTTATGTTTTGGACTGCCAAATGCAGTTTATGAGATGTTTGATTTGACCTCTCTAAGAGTGGATCATAAGGCCAAACGCGAAGGAAATAATTCCATTACTTCTGGATTTTGAAGAATGTTATTTTGTAACTGTAAACCTAAATCCAACATCTTAACAATAGCCTCAGCTGTTAACTAGTTCCCTTAAACAGCAATGTGGACTTTTTAGCTAAATGCTTTTTGACTCCAATTTAACCTCTGAAGATATATGTTGCACCAAGTTTATAGGATTTTCTGTTTTCTTTTCTTCTTTTTATTTATTTTTTTTTTGCGCTTTTTATAAATTTTTCTCTTCTTGATCATGCTTAATGTTGGTATGTGGGTGGGGATGAAAGTAAACTAGTACCACCTCATGCATTTAGGCCTTTCGTCCAAATAGAATAGTAAACTAACCACCTCATGCATTACCCCCACCCACAAAACAACTAGCCAATGCCCATAACAAAAAGAGAAGATAAGAAGTGCACACCCACTTTGCAGATAAAAATTATAAAAAGAAAACAAAAAGATCCTATAATGCTCCAGAGGAATCCTTTTTCTGATCCTCATCTTTATATATTACGCATGCTACTTTTACACATAAAATGTGCATTCTAAAGACTATTTTGTGCTTTCTTTGTTTTATGTGTCATAAAAGATGAACTGTTTCTTTGGATGTATGGAATTGAGACTGTTCATGCAAACCAATGCATTTGAACTTTAAAATTCCTCATAAGATACTTAGACAACAGTTGGAGCTGATAATTCTTTTGACGCTTCACTCTGCCATTCTCTTTTTCAGACATCAATTCACTGTTCAATCGGCACTGCCTTAACTACGAGGGAAAGGTTTGCCCAAATTCATAACTTTAAGTGCATGTAGATATTATTGGCATGTTTAGTTGACTATTTTGATTTTAACTATCCATGAATATTAAAAGGCCAAAACTTGTGTAGACCCAGTCTTCAAAGACCCCAATTTGGGCCATTGGGTCTTTGAAGATGGGGTCTACCCAAGTGTGAGCCCTTGCCTTATATTTGTTTACACCAACCTTGTGAAGGGAGAAGTAAATGAATACAGTTCAGTATAGTTGTAACTGAAACTTTTTTTTTATCACTTCTGCAGTCTTTCATTCTATAAATTTCATTTTCTTTCTTTTCGAACAGTTAAGCCTGAGAGTTTTGATTTGTTCAAATTGCCCACTCTAATTCTCATTTCCAGATTACTAATTTGGCAGTATTATAGCTGCTGATGCTATGGGTGGAATGCTTATCATCTTGGTGGTGAAGATATGTAGGTTAAATTTTGGGGCTCTTGCCAATGCTGGTTGCCTGCTCCAGTTGCATTATTTTTTCCCCTTAGCTCCAAAATGAAGTATCACCAATTTTGGGGAGGAATGAGGAAATTTTGGTGAAATTCCTCTGCTTGAAATTTACTTGCTATATTGGACTGAAGCGCTAACATAAGCCTAACATGAGTCTGATTTACTTTGTTTCATTTTTCTCATGCAATGCGTCTTACAAGAAGATTTTAGATTGGGAAGTGTGAGGCAAAGTGGCCAATTTTCGTCATTAAACTTCAATAATAACCTCATCCTCCTATATTAACTTTCCGTGACTAATTGCAAGAGGTCTGAAGTATGGATGCTTATGCATTTCCCTCAACTGGAAAGGAATCTCTAATATGCTTCCACCCCCATCATCCAACATGTTAGGGGCAAAACATTGCATAACTGTTTCGTGTTTTCTCTTTAAAAGGAAATGTGATTGAACATGACTTGATGGTAAATAATGTGTATGATCTTCTTGCTTAACATAAAAATAGGCTCATAGTCTATGTCCTTGTAGCAAGTTACAGTGATTGAGGTCTTTGTGCAGGTCAAGTTGGTGTGCCTTTATAAAGGTGTTCTTCCAAAAGTATTGATCCCTGTACGGCAGGTCAGTTAGTCTTCAGGGGATAGGCTTTTGCTTGTATGGTAGACCAATTATTACATGATAATATTGTTGAAAAGAAATCTTTGCTAATGACCGCAACTGCTAATTTTCCATATATACTTGTGGGTTGTAGTATTAATGTTTGTTTAAGCAAAATTTAGATGTTTAGGATTTGCTTCTTTTTTTTTTCCAGCAAGATTGCTGTTAAACTTTTATTCTGGATTACCACCTAATATTTCTTGTATATCAATCAACTCGTAGAAGAACCTTCATCTAGTCTTCTTGTTTGTTTTGTCCCTTATTTGAACATGACAGATATACGAGCGGTTTGAAGCAGACTCGATTGCAGATGCTGATGATGCTCGTTTCCAGTATTTTTGTAAGAAGGTTTGTTTGATAGCTGAATTGTCACTTTAGATGGTGCAATATATATTGACAACAAAGTTGCTGCAGCATATTATTTCCATTTGGACCTATGTAGTTTATTTTTAGATATTACAGATAATCATTCACATTGGTGACTCGTTTGCTTTGATAGAGTTGGGTCAGTGGCCAGCATTACAGTTTCAGTACAGTGCATTTTTATATCTATGTTTCCAGTTTGTCCTTTGTGAAATATACATGATCAAGAAATTGATTAGAATTTCACCAAGATGCAATGTCACGTATTCACACTTACAGCACGTTGACCAAAAAAGAGAAAAAATCCAAGTGCATGATTATATTGCAGAGGGTAGGGAAGTGGAACTTCCCTTTCTGGGTTAGATTAAGAAAATTGTAGCAAGTGGGATTATAGGTCTTTTCCCAACTCTACGGAAAACAAATGCAGGGTTAGAACTCAGATGAAGGTGTTTTCAGTATGGCAACTATGCATGCAACATAGGAAAGGAGACATGTTGGCCCAAAAAGAGATGAGATCAGTAAGAAAGCATTATCAGGCCCTCTGTAAGAATGCATTTAATCTGAATTAGAAAACATTTTGTCATGAATGCAAGAAATTTTTTATTTCCAGGGAGTATGTCCTCAATGAGCTTCCTCACTTTTCTGCTGAACTTCTGTAAATGGTGATATGAATGGTCTCTGTCTATTATCAGAAAATGTATGCAATGCATGTGCTTTCCCTAGTTGAAATAAACCTGAAACCAACTGCATTTCATAATGAGCTATTTAAAGTACCCTTAGATTGGGGAATTCTATCCAAAAGAAAAGGGAAAATAAAGTCAGGTTTCATAAGTTGGGTGCATGTAAAAATATACAGCACTTGGCATCTATCATCTTAGACAATTTGGTTTCCAATATTTCACATATAGTGTTGAACTCAACAATGTCTAAGCTTCAGTCAGTGTTGTACCAGAGACAGTTTGCATTCTCGAAGTGACTAAATAGTTGAGAGAAAAGATGAATTATCTGATGGGATCACAGTTCTGCACTCGCTCTTCGGAGTCCATATGTTGTCTTTCCTGCTTAAACAGGCAGAACTAAGTCTGAACATATCATATTGACTTCTGTTTCAATTGTGAACATGATAATCACTTGAGCTTGTAGGTGATGAAATTGAAATCAGAATAGACACCGGGAAGTTGCATACAAGAGTTTGAAAGGCATAAAAAAAAAAAAAAGAGACTACTGGAAGGAAAGGCATAGAAGGACCAGAGAGTGGTATTTTGAAACTTTCATGGTTCCAGAGATGGTAAACACTAATTGCCAATCTGAAATAACATTTAAAAGACGTTATTAGGCTTTTCAGGAGTTTTGAAAACAGAGGAGGACTATGGGACTAATATCATTGAGGGCCGAATTTCTAGACTAGATTTAGGGAATTGAAGTACAATATCAATTACATTTGTGTCATTTGCCTGTGATTGAAGCAATTCCGAAGCTTCTTTTGGATGCATCACCATCTTCTCTGCTTCATTTTGCATTCTTACTGTTTACTACCTTTGCTAACTGCATTGAAATGATCTCTGCCCCTTGTAAATTGGAGTTAAAAATTATGAATTCAGTTTATGGTATGTAATTCTACTTGACACTTAATTGAGAGGATCTTTTTGCATGGTTAAGTTAATCATAACTCTCATGGTTAGTCTTTTTCTCGGGAAGCATTGTTCTCTTATGCTAAGTTTATCCAGATGCAACTTATTCTCATTGCAGGTGTTTCCCAAAATAAAAGACTCTATCCAGGTATTTATTTCTTGTTTGAATTGGTTGATAATTTTCTGAGAACATCTGGTCTTAAGATTCATATTGAACATTTATGAACCTTTCCATTTATGCAGGGTGGAATTATGCTATGTATTAGTTCTTATTTCGAGTTTGTTCGACTCCGAAATTTTTTGAAATCTCAAGAAGCATCGTTCTGCCTTCTTGGAGAGTAAGGAGCAATCACCTTTTTCTTTATTTTTTTTATTTTTTAGATTGTGCTGGTTTAATTCACATTTTCTTCAGCACAATATTTGAGTTTGATGCAAACGGTTGACTATCTCCACGTTTGATAGCAATTTCTTTGTCCTATTTAGGTACACCAAACAAAGTGATATATCTCGTGGGCGAGTTTGGTTCTTCCAAGGACAGCGGAAAATCATGCTATACACTGAGAGAGCTCACTTCTACCACAGATACAAGGTTCTTAGTTTCTTTTTTGTCTTCTTTCTGGTGTTTCCTACTACCACCTTTATTGTACTCTTAAGTCAATTAAGATTGGTGGGCTGTAAAACTAGTTGAGAAAATAGATATTAGATCATTTATGCTGCTGCATGATTTTTTTTTTTTTTGACAACAAAACTGATGAAGAAAAGGGAGAAACCATGGTCTATTGGTGATCAATGTTATTTCTGGCACAGTGATTTGACTTTGTTTCACAGAACTTTAAAATGACGTTATCTTCTAGTTGAATTCTTAAAATTACATATGGCTAAAACGTTTACTTAAATAAGAAATAAGTGCTTTAGGATTACAAGGCTTTGCTGTATTGATGAGATATCAAAAACTGGACCTGAATTAATATAATTGATGAGAATCTTCTGGTCTATTTGTTTATAATTGCAATGATGCATAATACTGCTGATAGCAGCATCTCTCCTATGCATTTCATCCTCTTGATACTTTCATATTTGAGGCAAATTACATGTATATCCAAAAATCTAACTTTGATGTTTCAGAATTAAAGAAGGGAAATCAAGATACAAGTAGATTAGTGAAGTTTAATCTTATTTTAGAAGTCATTCTCTTAATAGTTGCCCTATATGAGTTCATGGCTTTCTCACCGTTCATAGCCATACAAACAGTGTGTTTGTCTCTAAGTTTTCTAGATTGAAATGTTGTACCCTGAGAGTTGACCTCAGAGATTAGGATTTCATTGTTTTCCTAATAGTTTTAACAAGCTTTCAGATTGAACATATGACATTATTTTGATCCTAAGTTTCTTGTGTATAGATCCATGCTATTCAGAAATTGATCATTTATTCTCTTCCGGAGAGGAAAGAATTTTACCCTGAGGTACAATTTATTCTGTAAGCATATGTTTCCTTTTCTCCTGTCTATTGAGGAATTTTGATTGAAGTACCATTGTCGTGTATTTCAGATAGTAAATATGCTCGAAGGATCTCAAAACATGTCTTGTACCGTGCTATTTTCTCGTTTTGATCAGTTCCGGGTAAGATCTTTTCGAGCATGCACTGAAATGAAAGTGTCCCTTGAAAATTTTCTATTCTTATTCTCTCTGATAGGTTTCTTTAGAATAGACAAAGTTCATAGAGATTGAAATTTGATTAGGTCCTCCAGAGTCCTGTGAGGAAATTCTTCCCTATTTACTAGTTAAAGTGGCAACAACAACAACAAGAAGATTTGCTTCACAAAAAAAATAAATAAAAAATGCACAAACAGATTTGCTTCACAAACAAACATTTAAGGGGATAGTAATATCAAGTATGATCTCAAGTTCACAGAACTTCAGTGTAATCATGTTTCGTGGAGGACTTTCCTTGTTTTATCTTACTTTTTGTCACGTTCTTACTAGCAGTGCTTTCCAGTAATTCAACTTGAGGAATTTTGACTTGTGAGAGAACTAAACTCGAAACTCTTTATCATGGGTTGGATATGTTAAAAGACACATTTTGTGCAAAATCAGGGTATAGAAGAAAGCACTCAAGGATATTGCTTGGACTATTACTAACTTCTTTTTCCTTTTCTGATGTTAAAATTTTGATATAGAACTTTTAGTTTATTAAGCAAGTCTGACTTGTTTGAGACCAGAAATTGGAGGGCTTACTCTTGAATATTGATGCAGTAATGGTTATAGTAGACTTATCTGCATTTTGTCAAGCATCAAGCTGTACCCCCCCCTTTCTCCTCTTTTTCCCCTTTTTCGGTCAGATCTTTCTTGAACTTACCTTCTGTCACTAAGGCAAGTACCATCGTCTAGGAAACTTTCTCTTTGAATTTCTTGAAAGTTTCTAATTCCAATGAAGGTAATTTTCTTTCTTAATCTTGAATTGACATGACTCTCCCCTAAGAATGGCTTACACTGCATTGAGGGTGTAATCAAACCTTCTGGCTCCTTGGCTTTTATGTTGCTCAAGAATCTTGAGATTGTTCCCGTTTGGAAAGTATATTTGCTACTCAGTATTTATAGCTGTTAATTTCAAGGATCCTTCGATTTTTGAAATTGTTAGATATTTGTTGGAATTGAAGGCATAGGACAATGGATGGGATTACAAATCTGTTAATTTAGTGGTCATATAGATGATAATGCCAGCTTTTCCTTCCCTTTTCTCTTACTCGTTGCCTTGGTTGTAATACTCAAAGATTAGGGGTAAAGAATGAAATAAAATAATAACCTAACTATTACAATTTGGCATGTAAATTCCTCTCAAACAATCAAAAATTAAATTAAATTAAATAAATGAAATTAAAAATGAATAATAATAATAAAAAGAAAAGAATAATAATAAATAAAAGAAAAACACTCAAAACCCGTTGGAGCACATAAAAGGAATTTAAAATAACAAAAGATATTACCTCTCTTGAAGTGGTGACTAAGTGGGGGTGAAATTGGCTCTATTAAGGCTCCAAAATGAACAAAATGATTAAGACACCAATTTAATTAACAAATAAATCATAAAAAATGGAAATAACATGAAATCTATCAATTGAAGTATTCAAATGAAATATAATTAATAATCTAAGAAGAGAAACAACTTCTATTTAAGAAATCAAATCTGTCAGAGACCTAATTGCAAAAATTAATAAAGTTTTGGGAGTCAAATTATAATTACACAAAAATTCAGGGTCCGAATTAAAGGAAAATAAAGTTTAGGGACTTATTTGAAATTAATTAAGGACCTAATTGAAAGAAATCTAAAGCATTTAGGGTCACAATACAATAAAGTAAAAGCACAGGGACCAAACAGTCTCTTAGGAAACAAGGCCATCGGGCCAAATTTTTTTATTTCTTTGGGTCGAACACTACCCAAGCCCAGCCGAAAGTCCTAGCCAAAACACACAGGCCAACCCGTCTTTTGTCACTTAAACCCAATCGAAAAACTACATGGGTTTTGACCTCCTAGCCCAACCAAAACCCAAAAGAAATAAACCAAAACCCATTTCTAAAACCCAATAAAATAATAATCACAAGCCCACACCTAAATAAAAAATATTAACCCAAACTCTTTTTTTTTTCTTTTCTTTTCTTTCCTTTCTTTTCTTCTTCCTCCCCTTCTTCTCCACCGAGAAGATGAAGCTTCCTTCTAGCTGGCGGCTATGGCAGCCTCCGGCGGCACAATCGATGGACCGCCACCGGACGCCGACCGCCGGCAAATTTTTCGATTGCCAAATTTTCTCAAAATACACATCCTCAATCAATTTTTCGCGCAGATTTCATTTCCGGAGTTATTTTTTACAAAAAATGAATCAAAAGTGGCGAAATTGCCAAAACAGTCCGGTTTTTTATTATTTTTAAAAACACTATAATCACTACTAAAAATCATAAAAAATTATACTACAATATTCCTTACAACTTCATCAATACAACTATGATTTTAATTTGACAAGAAAACAACATAAAAGGGTTAAAATAAAGCAAAACAGTCCCCTAAATTTCATTTTTTCATTTTTGACATTTTTCAAACATTTAGCATGCTTGTACAATATTTATTTCTTTTTCCTTTAATCTGATTTATAACTTGTCTAACAACACAATAATAACAAAATCAATAAGAGAAAAAAATACACAAACAGCCAAACAATTAATTAAGGAAAAAGAAAAACTGGAAAAATAAAAGAAAGAAATACCTCAACGAAGTTTGTATTCTCTTGGCTCAAGTTTTGATGTAATTTTCGGCTCCGATTGTCCAGTTGCTGCCTCCTTTTTGTTGTGCAAGTGTGTTGAATTTTTGGGAAGAGATGAGAGAGCTTTTTTTTTTCCTTCTCCTGCGTTTTCTTTCTCTGTCTTTTTTTTTTTCGTTGAGAGCTCTAGCCAGAGAGTCTGAGAGTGAGAGAGTTTAGCCTGCAATTTTTCGCTCCTTCTTTCGTCCATTGAGATCCAGGGGCCAAGAAGCAAAATTGGAGCCCTTTTTTTTATTTGTTCCGTTGCCTCCCATGTGGTTTGGTCAAAAGGTGATTTGGTGGAAGGCATCATGATGTCTCTACTTTTTTTTTTCTTTTTTCTTTTTGAATCCAAGGAAAGAAAAATAATACTTTTTATTTTTTTTTATTTAAAACAAACCTGCAAAAAATGAGATAATACACGTTAAAATGTAAGAAAAAAATAACACTTAAAATAGAAAAAATTCAAGAAAACATTAAAGATTGACAAAAATTTGGTGTCTACAACTTGCGCCTCTTTGTCTAGAGTTTAAAAGAAACTCAAGACAAAGACGTAGACACCAAATTGCTTACCTATTTCCTCTAACTGTACCTGAATTAAAATAAACAAGCCAACACTTGACTGAAATTATTGAACACAAGATGTCATGAAATTACAAAACACGTGACCGAACTCATGTACAGTTGCCTACGTATCCCGCCATGGGAATCAGGTCAAACGTAGTTCGAATACAAGTGAACCACAATGAAACATGTGCATTGACCATATGTGATCTTTGCAAAGTCGAAGAAGTCTGAGCTCTCAGAACTTCTAACACGAAACATAAGATAACTGAGAAAGCACAATTATTAACCAAAACAGTCAATAAAAGTATATTGTCATAATTAGAAAAAGATACGCGGAGGGACGCGGTTACGCTCCAACAAAAAATTAAATGTGATTGTCTAGAATGGGGGTAGAAGGGTGCGCGGCGGACGCTGAGACTCACCAATAAGAAATTAAATTTGAATTTTTTTTTTGAAAAAGATGCGTGTAGGGCCGCAGTTACGCTCCAACAGAAAATTAAATTTATCAAGAAGGGAGGTAGAAGGGTGCGCGGCAGACGCTGAGACCTCACCAACAAGAAAATTAAATTTGATTTTTAGAAAAAGATGCGTGGAGGGACGCGGTTACGCTCTAACAGAAAATTAAATGTGATTGCCTAGAAGCGGGGTAGAAGGGTGCGCAGCGGACGCTGAGACTCGCCAACAGGAAATTAAATTTGATGATGATTTTTTTTTCAAGAAAGGGGATAGAGGGGTGCGCGGTGGACGTTGAGACTCACCAACATGAAATTAAATTTGATCAAGAAATGGAATAGAGGGGTGCACGGTGGACGCTGAGATTCACCAATAGAAATTTAAATTTGTCATCAAGAAATAATAGATTGGTGGGATATGATCCGAACTCAATTGATAGATTGGTAGGATACGACCCGAGCCTAATTAAAATGATGGATTGGTGGAATATGCCCCGAACCCAATTGATGGATTGGTGGGGTACGTTCCGAACCCAGTTGAATGATACATTGGTGGGATAAGACCCGAACCCAATTGAAATGAAATAGTTTCGAATGAAATTTGATTGTCAAGCAGGGGGATAGAGAGGTGTGCGGTAGACGCTGAGACTCACCAACAGGAAATTAAATTTGATCAAGAAAGGGGATAGAGGGGTGCGCGGTGAACGCTGAGACTCACCAATAGGAAATTTAAATTGTCAAGAAGGGGAGATAGAAGGGTGCGCGGTGGATGTTGAGACTCACCAACAGGAAATTTAAATTTGTCATCAAGAAATAATAGATTAGTGGGATACAATCCAAGCCCAATAAGATAAAAACGGTCAGTGGGATAAAATCCAAGCCTGCCGAGATTGGTGGGATACAACCTAAGCCCAACAAAAATAAAATGGTATTGAAATAACTTTTGGAATCGCAATTTTTCAAAATTTGCCCCAGTGTAGGGCCTCTTTTTTTTTACTTTTTACTTCTTTCACACCTTTTTCTTTTTGTCAAAAGTGGAGAACTTTGAAACTTGAAGAATACCATTGACAATTGTCCCTTTCAAGGATTTGAGAGGAAAATACATATGACGCTATCCTCTCAATTTTCAAGGACATTTTTTTTTTCAAAATTGATTTAGAATGCATTACCAAAATTGGAGCTCACTCCTTTCAATATTTACCTCAGTGTAAATCATGTTTAACAAAGGCCACATTTTTCATGCTTTCGAAAGAGTAAAAAGAGTAATGGTTCATTGTGCTCGTTTTATCATTGAGAATGTGACAGCCCCACCTTCCCCCAAGGCGAACCAAAGGGTTTAGCGGACCACCTGCCCAACTCTCGTCAGGACTACAGAGTCGAATCACACAAACCCTATATTACGCATGATCGAACCCTAAGAAAATGAACAATTGAAAACCACCAAACTCAAATATAACTTACCAAATCATACGGTAAAATGGAACATCGATTAAACACTTCAATGAAAAGGAA